CTTGTGCCACACTTTTTCCATCCATTCATCTGTGGACATTTGGGTTGGTTCCATGTCTTGGCAATCGTGAATAATGCTGCAATGGATATAGATGTGCAAGCGCTTTTCTGACTGAGCGTTCTCCTGTCCTTTGTGTAGATACCCAGGAGTGGAACTGCTAGATCATATGGTAGTTCTATTTGAAGGTCTGTGAGGAACCTCCATATTGTTCTCCACAGTGACTGGACCAATTTACATTCCCACCAGCAGCGTAGGAGTGTTCCCCTTTCACCACATCCCCTCCAGCATACACTGCCATTTCTAAGAGCGGCACAATGCTGTTGTTTGAATAAATCAAATTCTTTCATATTTTGATATTTCTAGTTTTTAAACATTATAAACAAGACCAACATACACCAAATATATGTGCTAATATAAATAATTTATTGGGTCAGGTACTGCAGTGCTAACACAATTGACCCACATGGGAAAGGTGCTATGTTTGTTTCCTCGGACCTCCTGAAATCCTCCTGTGAGTGCACACCTGAGTGCGTATGTGAGTGTGTTACTTGGGTCAGCTGAGCCTGGGAGTAGATTGCAGCATGAAGACTGTGTTGGAAGCGTCTCTCTCAGAAGAAGAAATAAATTGATGTGCTTAAAGGGCAAAAAAAAGAACTTTCCTTGAGCTTCTAACAAACTTTTCTTGAACCCTCTTTGGTCAGAACTTAGTCATAGGCTCATTCTTGATTTAATTCCAGGTAAGAGGGCAGAGGCTACCAGAACTGACCTAATCTGTCTGAACTCACTCTTGAATTTGGGTAATTCAAATACACTTGGGGCTAGGCAGAAGGTGGCATTTAAAAAAAAAAAAAGGATTCTTGGGCAAAAAGAATCTATTATCTACAATAGTAGTTTAGAACATTTTAAGGGATTTAGAACATAACAAATATACTAATTTTTAACTCTAACAGCAATGTTTAAGAACACTATTGCTCTATACTCTTGTGAATCAGGGCTGATATAATTATTTTAATCTTTTCACATATTTTGATAGACCTGGTAATAATGCTTTATATTTTGTACTAAGTTTGTAACACATCTTTATGATGAGTCACAACTCATTTAATGGCATCATAATTTTCTATTAATATACAACGTGACAGAAAAACTGGTTTATTTCCTGGTTTCCTATATGTATTCATTAGTGATCTAAAATTATAGGTACAGGAACATGAACTCCATCTCTCAAAGAGAGAATGAAATCACTTCTATAAATTACTTATCAAAATGAATGTGAGTTAGTCTTAGCTTCTTCATTAGTATTCCATGGAAATCTCAGAAAAACCAATAATTTTGTTTAACAAGCAAATACATTTTACAAAAGTTGTACTCAAAATGCATAAGGCAATTGTTAATTTTGTCTTTGAATTTATTAACATTTATTATGTGTTTATTATAGACCAGATATTAGATGCTATACATTTTTAAAGAATTATTTTTTTTAATTTATTCATTCATTTATTTTAATTTGACCAGAGAGAGAGAAAGAGAGAGAGACAGAGAGAGAGAGAGAGAAAGAGGGAAAGTGAGAAAGCAAGCCACCAGGTCTGGGACTTGAACTGTGGTCAGCCTGCTGGCTCTGATGCTATAAATTTGATAAAAGGAATCTGGGTAATTTATATTACAGATTAATCTCTTGAAGAACTATTAGTACCATATTTTTGAGCATCAAATTAATTACAAGGATGCTAAAACAGTGTATTAGAACTTTTTTGTTTTAAAATATATTCATGTAAAAATATTATATTTGTCACAGTGTATTTTTGGGAACAGCTCTTATTAATAGTGAACAGGTCACAAGGGGATACATTTATAATCATCAGTGATTTTGTGATGATGCTTGGCTTTTAATATTTGAGAATAGGTATTTACCATTTACAACCCTGACTTATTTCTTTGGAAATTTGGTTCAAGAGCCATATTCTCTGGGATAAGAAGAATTTGGCAATTTATCCTGCACAGATATTAAAGCATCTGAACTCCTGGAGAGAAATGGTAAATATTCTTTTATTAGGTACTCAAGTTTATACTGTTCATATGATAGATTAAAAAAGATATCTTTCTGGCGAGCACACACACCCTATAGCAAAAAACCTCTCCAAAAGAAAACAAAAAGATCAACCATAGTACCATAAATATTATTATTAGCCACGTCTAGATCAGAGTTATTAAGGGTTTAAGATGTACAACTATTAGGAAAAAAAATTCAGGGTTGACCTTATAGTCTAGTGGTTAAGGGAGCTAGATCCCACATGGTCCACCTCAGTTCATATCATGGCCCCAGCTGCTTGAAAAAACATGCTGGACACGTGTGCTGTGGGTAAGTGCTCAGAGTCCCAGCAGGATGGAGAAATGGAGAAGGGATTTTGTTATGACCATGCTCCATGGGGGTTGCTTTCTGTCCTCTTTCTGGTCCTCTGGTAATTAAGAAAAGAAGAAAAGAAAATCTAATCCACATCTTGGTAGAAAGAAAATACGTTGGGATAAGTAAAACAAAGCAAATAGTCCCCTTGTAGCTGACTTTTTTTGAAAACTGGAAGCTGTGTAGGCCGCTATGAAGAAAATAAATCTAAGACAAAGTTAAGTTTAGAGAATTAAAACACTTTTTGGATTTTTACATATCTTAACTAATCCACAGTAGGCTGATGCCCTGTGGGGACTGGCTGGCTGGCAGAGTAAACTAACATGTGAGGCCCAGGTGCTTCCGCTTATAGTCACATTCAGTCCAAGTACACTTCAGTGCTTACATGTCGGGCCATGCCCTTGGCCACGTCCATTATTTGGGTGAAAGTAAACAATAAGTAGGATCTGACTGAGTTATGTTTGGAAGGGTTCTCAATGAAATGAGACACTGTGTATGAAGTGCTAAATAGAAAGAGCCCAATAAATATAGCTTTTAAAAAAATTCTGTCTTGTGTTGGATGGGACATAGAAATAGCAGTGAAAACTGTGGTTGCTTCCAGCCCTGGGAGGCCTGCTTGCAACCATTTTATTCAAACTTTTGAAGGACAGAGTTATACTGTGTTCTGGCTCATGAAATAAAAATAAAGTTGGGGCTAACTGTAATTTTGCCATGCTCTCTTTGTACAGTTCTGAGTTCATGTAAAAATTAGCAGTCTTGGGTAGACTTCTTGATATTTTTAATTAGACTTGCAGACAAAGTACCTACTCTCCTATATACTTTTCATAAGGTAAGGGGGAGAGAAAAAGGAGGGGGCATAAAACTATATACTAAAACAAATAGGATGAATGGCAATTCTCTACTAGATACCTATCTTAGGCAAATTCATAACAGTAACAAAATCACAGACTGTGTTCTCATAAACCAAAAGCCAAAGGTCAGCAGACTATGCCAAAAGCCCTAGTTCAGTCACTTTACGGAGATGCTACTCCAAAAATTAGAGGTTTTTTTTTTTTTTTTTCTTTCAGGGTCACTGACCCATAGGCAGTAAAAATTAATGAAGAGTCACAAAAGAAATGAAAAGAAACCTACTTTGGTTATTGCTGGATTATTTTTAAAAGTCACAGTAAAAAGTGAAACTTAGCTTATTTAAAAATTAAGACCAGGATAACAAAACTTTATTCAATATGCTCAATGATGACAATATTTAAAATTGTACTTCAATTCTAGTATGGCCAGTAACTGAGTGGAGTAGAAATGGGGAAGAGGAGAAGGGAGGACAAGAGAGATGGAGACAGAGGGAGAGACTGAGACCAACAGAGAGTTGAGAAAAAAACATCATCATGGGACAGAGGCTAGGTGCCTTTTGTTTAATCTATTTTTAGTACTCAGTCACAGTTCTTATCTGTGCTATCTTCTTCAGGAATAACGTTTCTTATGGCTATTCCTTTAAAAAGGCTATTTTTCATGAATTAACAAGTCTCTTTTTCCCTTGAGAGTTCTACTAAGTCTTCTGCTACCCTCCAGAACTTTCTACAATGATTAAAATGTTTTCTTTTTTGGTGTCTACGTGGTAGCCACATGTGAATAATGAACATTTGAAATATGGCTGGTAAAATATAGAAATGGAATTTTAAAATTCATTTCATTGTAGCTAAATTAAATAGTTGCATGGGGATACCTGACTGGAAAGTGCAGGTTTAAGGGACATTTACAGTGGAAAAGATACTGATCTCATAGACAATATGTACAGATTAAACCATAGCATGAATTACAAGCCTTTTACCTGGATGACGCCTTGTCCTTAAAATGTTCCCTTTATCACATATACAAAGAACATATCATTATTGGTAATATTACTATTACTAGCTAAACTAGCCTAAAAACAGAGTGATCTTGCTTTAGGTGTGCAATTCCTGTTCCAGATAACACATTCCATGTACTTGGATGAACCTTTTTTTGGGGGAGGGGCTTTTTATATAAACCCTCATTTCTCAATAAAAACAATCCTACCTTTACTATCAAAGAAAAAGGATCAAGACAAATAGCTCTGAAGTTCTTTTTGCTTCTCATAAGCATGCTGTCCTTGAATATTTGGTTGGCTGTCCTCTGTACCTCTTAATCCTTTCTTCATCTTTAATTATTGTTATAGTTCCCAGATGAGAAATCCTCAAGGGGGTGGAAAACAGAAACTCAATGGTAGGTGTTTGGTCAAAAATGTCATCGGGGTACAACTACAATAACTTTGAGACTTCCGGGGCTCTGAGGAACAAGGCTTTTTAGAAGCATTCAGTATTTCATGCTGCCATTTCCATGAATAAATACCTATCAATCAGCAGTTTGATTACTGTAATAACAGGGGTCTGCATCATTTGATCACTTCCCTGTAACTGTCTGATGAATTTTCATCTTTGTTTAACTTATTTTACTTAGGTAGTAACTAGTTTATTTACCTGCTGGAGAGCCATGAATATTCTCCAGTTCTTGGAAGAACTGCATTTTGGACCTAATACAATCCTCAAAAAGGAGAGATTTGTGCCATGAATGAGTCATCAATTAATCACCCCAACAGCTGCTTCTGCCTGGGTTAGTCACAGAGCATCACCCTATCCTGGTATGCAGGGCTTGTTGCATAGTAGGTCATCAATACTTCTATTATGAACCAATAAGTGAATGAAGGGAAGTCAGTCACGTCTAAGAGTGGACAGTCTTTCATAAATAAATAAACCGTGAACTTAAAGGGTCCCCAAATACTTATTAAACTAAGTCATCTTCATTACTTTGGGGCTGGAATGACAATCTTTATCTCTAGTTTTTCCAAATCATTTGCCCTCCGTGCAATGACTGAGATCAGAGTTTCCCTTGACACCCATGACCTCTACAGGCCTCTCTTCTTTTTCCGCTTTAGAACAACTGTGCACAGCTCCGTCCGCCACACAGCTCCTGGGGGCAGGGATGAGAGGCAGGACTCCGACGCGTCACCAGCAGCACCATCTCTGTGCAGCCCCTCCCCGCTTGATGGGACATCTCCCTCCTCAACGGCCGCTGCTGAAACGGCGGCCACTCTCCCCCGCGTGTCACAGTACTCGGGGGAGGACGAGCCCTTCGCGCTGACCCCCGCCGCGAACTTCCCCGCTTCCGCCTGGAGTTCGAGGCTTCGGGCGGTGCAGTGGAACTCTGCTTCCGCGTCGGCGAGAAGCGTGGGCCATGACGTCGTCGCGCCCTGACGTCATGCCGACGTGCAGCGCGGTCGCCCGGGAGACCGGGAAAGCCGTTTCGCACCCGGCAGAGTCGAGGTCTAGGTGAGAGACAATAGGTTCCCCGAGCCCCCGGAGACCCGCTCCTCCGCACGCAGTTCCGGAGCCAGGCCTCCGCGAGCCCGCCGGGCCCAGGGCCGCCCCGTCGCCCCCGGGAACGCGCCGCTCCGCCCCCTCCCCGCCTCCCCGCCTCCTCCTCAGGCCCCGGCGGGTCCCCAGGGGATGGGGTTAGAAAGGGACAGATTTCAAAGCGCTTCCAGCGGTGTGGTCTGGCCTCGCAGTTGGTTTTTATTTGGAAAATCCCGCTGCTTCTGGAAAGTCGTAGGACTTGAACTCCCGCTTCACTTGCCCCTGACCTCGATGTGGGTGATTCACGCCGCGGGAAAGGTTCTGTGTGTGAGGGCCGGAAAGCTGGACGTGCGACGTGACACTGCTTCCAGGAAGGGACTCGGGAATGAACACTCAAGGACGCTTCTGCATTTTTAAAATACCTTTTTCGTGATCTCTTAGCCAGTTCACGAACACCTGCGTGACTGCGTCCATTGTCTCCCCACTTCTCGCCAAAGGGCAGGCTACGCGTGTGTCAGGCGAAGGAATGAAAGGTGGTGCTTTGATAAAACACGCGAAATATAAGAGTAAATGAAAAATCACAAGTTTTCCCTGTTGTCAAAATAGGAGACTCCTCCCATTCTTAGGAAAGCCGGTGTTTGTGACTACTACTTCAATTCCTTTGATATGTACATACGCAACGAGGCTTTTGGTTTTGTTTTGTTTTGAGGGTCTTTAAAATGTGAACAGTGGGGAAGATAGGGTCCTTATTTCCCAATCACCTTGAAAGTTTAGCTTAGGCGCGCGTTACCTCTCCTTGTGACCACCTGCTTTGTTGCAAAGATTCTTAATTCTTTGGAACTAAGGCAATTAGCTACTGCAGGTAGATAGATGGCTCCTCCATTTACGGGTGAGTTTCAGATGAACTGTCAAAGAATGTAGCAGACTTCGTCCAGTCCTTTTATATGAAGACAAATGACCAATTTTCTTGAGACTATGTGTATAATGGAGTGTGTCTTCTTGGCTGTGTAAAAAAGAGAGATTTTGTTTTGTTTTTTTGTAATCTCATTAAAGTGACTGTGATGTGAGTAGAAGTCTAGTAAATGTTCACTCAATAATAAAATTGTTTTCTTTCTGCACTGTGGAGAGTTTTTTGGGTTGGCAGGACATTTTGAGTTGTTGCTCAGTACTCAGAACCTGCTAGTTCTTCCACTTTGGTATAGTAAAGGCCATAAAGTTGAAGTAGATCCACAAACAATGAAGGTACTAAATAAAAATGGTTCCTCTGGTGCCTTTTTCTTTTCTGGAGAGGTTTTTGCTATAGGGCAGGTGTGCTCACCAGACAGACAGACAGAGACAGACAGAAAGCGAGAAATCACCTTCCAGGGGGGATGGCCACACTGCTATCCCTTCTCCTCCATTCTCCTCCATTCTCCTCTCAGGTTCTTGGGCACGCACACATACCCGCCCGGAGTGAGTTTTAAGCCACCGGGTCCAGGTCGCGAACTGCAGTCGACTATGTGGGAGTCCAGCGACATAGCCATTACCCTAACTCCTCTGGTGCCTTTTTTATCTTGCCACTCAGATCCATGCTCTCAAGTATAACTTTAGAAATAGATTTATTGGGGTAATTTTAAGAAAAATTCAATATAGTTGAGGATTATAACATTTATTTTATTGCTGGTGAGTCCACAAATGGTAGAAATGAGAATAATGAGTTTTGGGGGCTCTCACCACAATTCTGTGACAGTCGGCCAAAAATCAGATTATGTTTGGGGCATCTGGGCCTGTGTTGACATAGTTTAACTTTACCCCCATAGTTGATCTCAGTTCACTAGCAGACACTCCATACACACTTTGTATTATGTTTTACGTGGGAAGAGAGCTAACTAGTTATTTGTTCTAAGCAGCAACTCATTGACATGAATATTTGTGCTAATACAAAGTATGAGGAATCGTCTTTTCTACTAGTTATTGCACAGTTTACAAAAAGCCACTTTAAGATTTTTTGTCGAGGGAACCAGCAGTTAGCGTAATGGCTATGTCGCTGGACTCCCACGTAGTCGACCGTGGTTCGCGTCCCCGCCCCGGTGGGTTAAAACTCACGCCGGACGCGTGTGCATGCATGCCCAAAATCCCGAGAGGAGAATGGAGGAGAAGGGTTTGCGGCGTGACCATCCCCCCTGGGGGGGTGATTTCTCGCTTTCTGTCTCTGTCTCTGTCTGGCAAGCGCATGTGCCCTCGTGTGCCCTATAGCGAAACCCTCTCCAAAAAAAAAAAAAAAAAGATTTTTTTTGTCGAGACCAGCAGTTGGTGTAATGGCTATGTCGGTCAACTCCCATGTAGTTGACTGCCATTCGAGTCTTGGACCCGGTGGCTTAAACTCATGCCGAGCGTGTGTGCGTGCGTGCCTGAGAGGAGAATGGAGAAGGGATTGCAGCCTGGCCATTCCCCGGGGGCTGATTTCTCGCTTTCTGTCTCTCTGTCTGTCTGTCTCTGTCTTTCTGTGTACGCACTCTCTAACAAAAACCTCTCAAAAAAAAAAAACAGAAAAGAAAAAGAATTTTTTATCAATTGCAATTTACCTGCCACCCTCCTATGTCTGGGGTTGCCCTCTTTGATAGAGTGCTATGCCTTTCCAGTCTCTTTCTCAATATCTTGCCCTGATCAAATGCAAAAAAGTGTTCACCAACTCCCCAACCCCAGCTGAAAGGTAAGATATTTTCCTTTCTTAAAGTCCTGGACTGCTCCTGTCTATAACTCACAGCCTCAGCTGTCTACAGTTTTTTCCTGTGCTATTGGCCTAATAACTGTGAACACTTCAGTGTACCTTCTAACATTAAGTTAATGAGACAAACATCTGTTGAAACAGTTTTCATCATTCCTAAGTACTCCTAAGAGTTTATAAATCATCTTAGTTTAAATTTTCTTCACATTATTTCAATTCTGACTATTGCCATCAATGTTTTTAGATTATTTTGCATCAGCGCTCTCAGTATATCTTGGGAAGTTATGGATCGTCACATTCCTATGCATGCTTTACCTGAAGAAATCCAAAAGGTATGCTATTACATTGTATAAATATAACATAGCATTAGGGACATTTTAGCTTTTAGATCATCCTAACTTCTAGGGGAGTGAATTCAGAGGGTTTACATTTATTTTAGTCACAAGATCTACAATGAATGGGTGGAGTAGAAGAGGGAATAATCATAATGAGCAAAATTATACAAATCAGTGCAAAGGACGTTCTAAGCAAAGAAGTCAGATCAGTCATTCCAGAGCAGTATTTGACCAGGTGGTTGTGGGGTCCTAATGAAAAGAAAGTTCCTTGGGGGCCAGCAGGTGATGTTCTGGTTAAGGTGCTAGACTGCCATGTGGCCAGCTGTGTTTCTAGTCCTGTACCCCGCGGCATGATAGCCAGGCATGTGCTTGCATGTCCAGAATGGGATGGGAAGAGGAGATGGGATTGTGGTGTGGCCCTCCCCTCAGGAGGTGATTTCTTACTTTCTGTCTCTCTGGTGAGTGCATGCCCCATAGCAAAAATCTCTCTCAAATAAAAAAAAAAGAAAAGAAAATCCTGAAAATGCTCATTTGTAATTTTTTATGATGCTGGATTTTAAAGTCTCTCTCCCTTATAATACAGTATCATCCATTAATTCTCACTTCTTACCCTGTGCCAAGTTCTATTTTAAGCCTTTTCCTGTACGGTAGCAGCTCATTTAATGTATTTAATAATCAATCCCTTACAGCTACTATGCTACTCTCTTCTCTGTTGGTTCACATTTGTCCTCAGGCAAAAGCATTTCTCCCATATTTAGTTTGGCCATCCATACATTTTCATGTATTTTTTCAAAAAGAATTATTTATTTAATTTAATTTGTTGTTGTTATTTATTTTTTAATTTGAACAGAGAGAAAAAGGGAAAGTGAGAAAGCAAGCCACTAGGCTGACACTTGAACCTTAGTCAGCCATGTGGGAGTCTAGTGCCTTAACCACCATGCCACCCTCTGAACCCACTTGTGTATAGTTTTAAATATATCTTTTTATAAATAATTAAATTGTGAGTTAAAACTTCAAATCTTAGCAATTTTGTTTGTTTTTTTTTTTGTTTTCGTTTTTGCCATAGGGCGCCTGTGCTTGCTGGAGAGAACAGAGAGGGAAAATGAGAAATCATCCTCCTGGGGGGTGGCCATACATACCACAGTCTCTTCTCCATTCTCCTCTTGGGATTTTGGGCACATATACACATGCACCCAGCATGATTTTCAAGCTGCCAAGTCTGGGACTCCAATAGTAGTCAGCCAAATGGAAGCCCAGTGCCTTAATCACTGTACTACCTGCTGGCCCCCAATCCATGACATTTTAATTGAAGATTGTAGTCAACTCGGGGCAGCAGATGGTATGATGGTTAGGGGTGCTAGACTTCCACGTGGTTGACTGCAGTTCGAGTCCTGGCCCTGGTTGCTTGCTTTCTTCCTTCACTCTCTTTTCCTCTGTCCCTCTCTGGCCAAATTAAAACAAGTAAATACATAAAGCTAAATAAAATAATTTAAAAAATTGTAGTCAGCTTTTAGATTCCTTTTGTCCCTTGTGCGTGTTGCCTTAGGCTGCCTGTTAGAACTACTCTTGCCATTGCTTTCATTTGATGCTTACTGTTGCTGCCTGTCCTTTGGATTTATGTAAATTGCAACCTAGAACTAGAAGGGAAGTCCAGTATCAGAAAGGACTTTTCTGTTTTGTTTTTAAAGAATTATTATTATTATTATTATTATTATTATTATTATTTTCAGAGAGGTTTTTGCTATAGTGTGTGTGCACTCGCCAGAAAGAGAGAGAGACAGAAAGTGAGAAATAACCCCCTGGGGGGATGGCCACACCAAAATCCCTTCTCCTCCATTCTCCTCTTGGGATCTTGGGCACACATGCACATGTGCCCGGCGTGAGTTTAATCCACTGGGTCCAGGACTTGAACCATGATCGACTACATGGGAGTCCAGCGACATAGCCATTATGCTAACTGCTGGTCCCAAGAATTATTTATTTTAATTTTATTTGTTGTTATTTATTTTAAAATTTTACCAGAGAGAGAGAAAGGGAAAGTGTGAAAGCAAGCTGTCAGGTCCAGGACTCAAACCATGGTCAACCATGTGGGAATCCAGTACCTTAACCACCACACTACCTGCCAGCCCCGTAAGAAAGGACTTTTAAATTATTGCATTTCTTTTCACCCTTTTACGTTAAGTGTAAGCACAGAAAGAGCTCAGCTTATGCTTACCTGAAAGTAGTGTTTATGTGTGTTTGAAGACATGGAGTATCATTTTTGTCTTGAACTGATTTCCTCCCACAGTAGAGGTCAAAAGAAACAAAGCAAAACAAAAAAAGTCTACAAGAAACAATACCGTCACTACAGATCCTAATTACATGTCAGGAAGTGGATGTATAATGACATAAAACAAATGCTTCTTCAAGGCTGACCACAGTAGTGCAGTTATAACACAAGGCACCTTGATGCTCAAGCCACATGGAAAGATCCCAGATTGTATTTTGAGGTCTTCCTGGACATACCTGGTGTGTGTGTGTGTGTGTATCTGTGTGTGTGTGCACGCGCACCTGTGATTGGGACTGGCTGAGCTGGAGTGGAATGAGCCTAAAGATCCTTTTGAGAGTGTCTCCCTCTCTCCCTCCCTCTCTCCTCCCTCTTCTCTCTCTCATTAAATATATACATACATATATAAATTTTTAAAAAAAGTATGTTAGTCATTTAATAAATTGCAGGACACTATGATTTAAGTGCTGCCTAGCACATCACAGGTTACATTTGCTGTGGGAATGGAGAGGAATCCCTGCACATTGGTTGGTCTAAAGGGAAGCTTTACGGAGGAAGTTGAACGGGTTTGGCCCTTGAAGGCTGATAATGTCTTTATCCAAGGGGTAAGACATCCTGAGCCAAAGGAACAGAAGCTTCCCAATGAGAAAAAGCCTGCCAAGTCAGAGCATGTTTAACAACTCCAGTGTTTTGATACATAAAATTTGTATTTATTTTGACAAGATTTTTTATGGAAGTTGTAGAGTGTGTTTTTCTCATGTTTGAGGCACTTTATAAGTAAATTGTTTAAAAATTCTAAATCAAAGCCTTCCATAAATCTACCGTTGGAGTGTAAATCTAGAGGGGCAGGCAGCTGTCCAGGCAGTACTGAAAAGAGGGGACACCAGGAGTGACTCAGCTGCCTAAGGCTCCTGATAGCCCTTGTCCTGCCCATGTTTAGAATGTAAGGTTCAGCTTTGCACTTTGTCATACCTAAGTTAGATGCATTTATACCAAAAATATTTATCATGCCTATATGTGCTAGACACTGTTCTGGGTGCTTGATTGTAAAAGCAACCAAAGTGTGTGTATGCATTCCAAAGCCTATAAAAGTACAGTCTTTTAAAATAAACATTTATTTCCATAACTTCATACCTCCATTTGATGTATCTGGAGTATCTGTAATTTAACTTGTTTCGTTCACTAAGGACTGAGCCCCATATCTCTTTTGCCAGCTTATGTACATCTCTCTATGCAGAATCATGTTAGGTATTGGTAACAGGAATAGTTCTGATTATAACCGTTTTATTTTTCAGATGAAGAAAACAAATAACTTTTTCATAATGACTTGCAAGTTGTGTTCCCTTTATTTATTGGAGAATAAAAAGGACTCGTGGGTGGATGAACAGCCGTATAGTGACAGGTCTTTCAAAGGCTTTTTTCTTTTCTGTTAACTTTTTTTATTACCTCATGTGCTGTCTCCTCTTTCTAAGAAGCTCTTGCTGTGTTTCCTTTTTCCCCTGTGTATAGGCAAGCAAGGTTAGTGTAGAAATCAGGCAAGAGAAGGTGGGAGATCTTTACCTAGTTCTTTCTTTCTGAGCTTCTGTTATGTGATATGGAAATGGATGGTTGATAAGTTAGAGCATGCCAATGACTACTACACTACTACTAATAGCAAGTGAATAGTATCAGCACAAGAGTTGCAAAAAATGTAAAGGAAAGGTGAGAGGGGGAGATGGCTAACAAAAAGTGTGGAAAATCACAATGCAGATTATGGTTGAAGAATCCTTTGCCTGATTAAAAGGCTAAGGTCATTAAATCATCTTCCCCTGGTGTCATATACAGAGGGAATCTTTTTTTTTTTTTTCTTGGAGAGGTTTTTGCTATAGGGCACATGTGCTTGCCAGAAAGACGTAGAAACAGAAAGCGAGAAATCATCCCCCAGGGGGATAGCGATGTCGCAGTCCCTTCTCCTCCATTCTCTTGGGATCTTGGGCACACACACACACATGCACCCAGCATGAATTTAAGCCACTGGGTCTAGGACTTAAACCACGGTCGACTACATGGGAGTCCAGCAACATAGCCATTACGTCGACTGCTGGTCCCATACGAAGGGAATCTTAAGGAAGAAGAAATATGATACTCTTTAATGCGCATTCCAGATCTTTTGTATTTTATAATTTATAACTAAATATAGAACACTTCTTAGACTTCTGTATCCTTGGGTGGCAGAAAATGTAAAAGAAGCTCATGGACTGGATAGAAAGACCACTCTTTTCCCCTCTGTCTACTGTGGCACTGTACAGTTCTGTATGTGCTTAGGCTAGCTAGATCTCTAAATCTGTTCTCTCCCTAGGCTGAGCAGACTCCTACCTGTTTCTGATCTTAGACAACCAGCAGCATTATTCATCTGGTATTCTGAAAGCAGAACACACTTGTAATGACAGTACAGTTCAGTGTTTAGGATTTTATTGTCACAACTTAAAGTGAAAACAACACTTATACATGAGCAAAGTAATACTGTAGCTCTCTCTCATGAGGGTCAACTCATTTGAGAGACATACTCTTTTTAGACAAAGGCAATGAACAATTTTCATTTTGGTATTTTTACAAGGCGTTATTGCAGAGGTCAAAACAGCAACAAACTAATAGAAAAATCAGTTATTGATCAAACAAAAACTGATCTCATGCCTTTTTTTATTTTTTGTTTCGTTTTTTTAAATGGTGACAAAATGACCACTTCTAATAG